TTCTAGACCCTGGATAGATTTTCTCAGGCAGAGAAAGCTCTGTTCATGCCACTGATAGTCTCAAACCCTCAGACTGAAGTGTTCTGCATGGTGTTCTGGGGACATGGTGTGGTGGGCTCAGGCAGAGAGCTCCTGCCCCTCTTCTGCTCTTTTCCCGACATTGTTCCTCACCCAGCTCACAGTTCTTCAGACCACTGAGAACAGCATTTCTAGCTTCCTCTTTGAGCTGGCAAGGAGAAATTCTGCGAACTCTTTTTCGTAGGCTTGGAGGAAACCTACAGGTTCCAGAGCAGCCTTCCTCCCAAGGAAAGCCTATACAGCTCATTTTATTAATGTCATTTTCGAAGGCCCGTCCATCCATCCATTCATCCATCCATGCATGTTTTCATTCACTCATTCATTCATTCATTCATATGTTCATTGATCCATTCATCCGCTCCTTCATTCACGTGTCCCCTGCTGTTTACTCTGCACCGTTCTAGGATCTGGGTGGACCACGAGGAGGAAACCGGGCTCAGTTTCTGCCTTGCTCCCCATGCCCACATGCCCACACACTCTGCTGGTTGCTCCCAGCCTCCATGTGCCTGGCGACCCCGAGACTTCCCCTGGGCAGGTGGGAGCACTCACTAGCAGGCTGCAGGCGCCCCAGCCGCCCTCCAAACTATATCCTCACACAGGCTGTGTCAGCCTCAAGCACGAGGACAGAGGCCAGCGGCGAATGAACCACGGTTGTCCATTTGAGTTTTATTGGAACATTGTATCACACAAAATAAATATTAATTTACCAAATTCTTAATCATCTGATAAATACTATTAAGTTAACAGGTATTTTACAGAACATGATGCTAAGTTTGCCTGGAGCAAAATGTAGCAAAATACTTTGGTGATTTTGACATCTGAAATATATCTCAGCTACTTTATGCTTCCTCCTTGTAATGATGTGGCACAGTACCAGTGTGCTTGAAATAGTTACTTTGTTACTGAAGTGTAATGACACTGGCCATTCTGGCTGCTCTTCCTTGGCTCTTGTACTTGTTACAGTAAAATCTTCTTTCGTTTGTCCAAGATCTTTGGCTGTTTCAGGCGCAGAAGCACAGTACCACGTGACTTCCCTCGGCCGCTCAGTCTAAAAAGACCTCGTGGAAGGTAAGCGTGGAAGAGGGAGGCCTGGAGCAGAGGGACTGGTAGGTGCTAAGCAGCGCTAGGGAGGAGCAAGAATGCCGGTATGTGGTCGCATCGCGGAGTGACTACAGAGTGATTGTGTACTGCATATCTCGGAGACCTGGGACAAAGGATTTTCTGCCATAAAGAAATGATAACCATCGTAGGGTATAATGTATTTAACCTTATTGCATAATATATACATGTATTAAAATATCACGCAGTATTCCATGAATACGTATAATTTTTGTTCTTATGTATCCGTTAAAAAGTAAGTTTAAGGATCGGCCAAATAGCTCAGCAGATTAAAGTGCCTGCAAGCAAGCAGGGGCCTGGGGTTAAATCCCCAGGCCTGCCGGGCAGGCCCCGTCCCCGGGGCGCACAGAGACTAAGACCGCGATTGAGACTGGGCGTGGTGGCGCCCTGTAATCCCAACTCTTGGGGGCTGTAAATAGGAGAATCACTACAAGTCCGATCTAGTAGTGAGACCCTGAACACCCTGTAGACCCTTCCCTAAAATACAGAAAAGTAAATAAATAAAAAATAAAAAGTAAGTTTGAGCTTTAACAACCTCAGATCTTTGGATATGATCAGCCAGTTTCATCTCAGCTTTCCATTGTCCACTCAGTATTTATGACAGCAAGGAACTCTTGCAGGTAATCCAAGAACTGCTTTGCTCGCCGGCGTTCTTCCCCACATTTTTGCTGTGAAAAAGAACAGATAGCAAGTGCTGCAGGAAACTGCCAATTTCTGTAGACATAGGTTCAGCCAGACAAATACAGTTGCTGTGGAATGTCTGAAACTTACTTTTTCAAGATCAATGTGTTTTTTAATTAAAAACAGATTTTGGAAAAGCATTTCCACTGCATCCCCATGTGCGCTTTGATTCCTCAGTGTGTCTATTCCCTGGAAGATTTCTTCAACACATAGTTGGTGCTAAATGAGGAAGATTTTAACAATAGAAATAATCAAAACAAGGCATTGAAAAAATATCCCCAAGACATTAAAACTTCCAGGGCTGGGGATATAGCTCAGCAGCACAGTGCCTGTGTGGCAAGTGGGAGGCCCTGAGTTAGATTCCCAGTACCAAAAATGAAAATAGAAAAAAAAAAAAAAAAAAAAAAAAAGCCCCTTCAAAACTTGGTCCAAAAAAAAAACAAAAACAACCCCAGAAAACTTGGTCCATTAATCTTCACACAATGTACACATATTTCAAAAAAAATCACATTGTACACTACAAATGTATAGAATTTTAATTTGTCAATTAAAATTTTGATCCAAAACGTTAATTCTTTGGTATTTTTTGGTGATTTTTCTTTCTCCAAAGAGTTTTCACCTGTTCCTTTTCCCAGTGGTGCTCTACCTCACACTGAGATGTCATTTTCAACAGATAGGTGAAGTTTATATAATTACTAAGGAGACATAAAGCATGCCGAATAACTACTTATCAGGACTTCAGTGTTGAGAAGGTATAATGCAATTATGTTGCTAATTAAACTTAACAGCAGTGTTTTCCTTCACAATTCAGACTGGTAATTATTCTCAGTGTAGACTAATGAAATAATATATTTTACCTTTGATAATGACCATGATAGATAGTTCAGATGTATATGATACTGTTACATAATCAATCATTTCAAGATGGGCATTATTGGGAGGGCACTTGTATATATTAATATCTACTGATCGTGATTCTAAGAATGTAATTCGGGGTCACTAATGTTCCCAAAAGACAGCTGGATAAGGAAGGCTGCAGACAGCTACAAGGGGAGACCCGCCCGCCTGCCCGCAGGCCGGCGCCCCTCCCCGGTGTGGAGCTCTCCCCTGCCATGAGGCTCGCTGATGGAGCACCCACATCACCCATCACAGAGGACCAATCCATATAAGGTGGCTTTTCCCAGCTAAGAAGCTGTTGCTGGTATGTATACACTCCCATCCACCCCACACAGAAATGAAATAGAGAAAATTCAGTCCTTCCAATGAAAACTAATGACTTATAACTTAAAATATAAAATTAACTTATTGGTAAGATCATTTTATTGAGTCCTAATTTAACTTACATTTTTATGTGCAGGAACAGAAATCCTCAGGGTCTAAAAAGAAAAGGACATGAAATCATTTTTAAAGCACTCTTAACGTTTAGAACACTGAATATAATGCCTGCAATTGAGGTGCTTCCCCCCCTTTACACTACTAATATGCCCATAATCTCACTACTTGTAACAGATATTTACCTGTACTAAGTGCCTGCACAAGCATCAGCTTTGCATGTTAAGGAGCTATAGAAATAAAAACACTTACCTCGTTGCCTGTCAGCAGAGCCCGATGAGTGGAGAGCAGAGTCAAGGTCTCCTTCACCAGTGCCCGCAGCGTGGCACTTTCCTTGGGCACAGCACAGACACACAGAGCCCCCAGGGCCAGCAAGCCCAGCTGCAGAAGCGCGCTCATGGCTCTGGAAAGCTCAGCGCTTACCTTTGGCAAAGCAAGTGCACAGCGCAAGGTTGCATCCCCAGCCAATTTATTCTCACTTTGAGGAAATGAATAATTTCTAACAATCAGATAGAGAATACCTAACAATGGCAAAGAGTGAAACCAAATGTTTTCAATGCCTTGTATCTTTTTTTAAAAAGTTATATACGTATGGTTGGGACTGGGGATTGAATCCAGTGTCTTTGCACTGAGCCATGTCCCCAGCCCTTTCAGGATGGGGTTGCATGAACTTTCCCATCCTGGGCTTAAACTTGTAATCAAACTTCAAACTCCCAGAGTGAACTTTTATCTTTTAATAATAAAAATCCCTACTTTTCCCCATTTTAAAAAAAACTCTGTGCTTTAAAATCCCCATTTTTCCCCTTTAAAATCATCCTATGACAAAATGCTTGGGTTGATAACATCTTTGGGTTGATAACATCATTTGTATTCATTAAAACCAGAAAGCTGAATTTCTCTTTAGAAGATGTGTGTCAGAAAGAAACATAATATAAACCACTAAACAGAGTTTTATTCTCAGATACATAAATGTGGGGAATTTTTTCCCAATCAGCTAAATTCTACCATGATTGTAGCTGAGTTGAGCTGTCTCAAAAGGAATTGATTAGCTTGACCAATTTTACGTGCTTATATTTGTAATCTGAGCAAGTACAGTGAGGACAGCAATGAGCAACATGACAACCCCTAAATACCTCTCATCTTGTTCTTTTGAAAATGTGTATCATTTCTAATGTCTTATCTATTATTTTTATATCTCTTTAAGATAAATAAAAATCAAAAGGACAAGAAAAACTTTAAGGTTTATTGCAAGAGCTAATGTTTTATTGTTTGGTCAATGTTGCATGCCTATATCTAGTAATCTGAGCAACAAATCGGATGATAACAATATGTAATATAACAACCACTGTTAATTTCCTATTCAAATTTGTATCATTTTTATTGTTTTATGTTACTTTGTTTTTGTCTTTGTTCTTGTTGTGTGTGTGTGTGCGTGCGTGCGTGCGTGTGTGTGTGTGTGTGCATGGTTAGTGTATTTGGTTGTTCTGCTTTCAGCCTAACCAGAGCTGGGATTACAGGCATGTGCCACCATGCCCAGTCTCTGTGGCTGGCTTAGCTGGCATGGCATGTGGTGCAAGGGATTGAATGGCAGTCCCTGTGCTTGCCTAAGCTTGCCTAAGCAGGTGCTTTAGTCTGCTAAACTATCTTACCAGCCCCCCTTACCCCCCTTTTTTTTTGGTGGAACCGGGGATTGAACCCAGGAGTGCTTATTCTACTGAGCTATCTTCCCGGCCCCTCCCCCTCTTTAAAATAAATTTTTACCTGGTACTGTATGCTGCACCTGGCCCACCCCTGGGTGTGCTGAGGCCCGACCTAGTCCAGGTGTGGTGGTGCACGCCTATAATCCCCTGCTGGGGAGGCTAAAACAGGAGGATCAATACGAGTCTGAGCTGCATAGTGAGACCCTGTACCAAAAAAAAATAAATAAAATAAAATATAAAAAAACAGAATTGAAAATACTAGTGGAAAGGGCAATTAAAGCAGACCTTGTGCCCAATAGGGCTCGTTTCCTTTTCTCTCTTTCTCCCCCCTCCCTGCCCTCCCTTCCTTTTTCTTCTCTTTTCTTTTGACACATGTCTAGCTATGTAGTCCAATATGGCCTTGACGCATTAGGTGGCCCAGGCTCACCGAAGCCCCACTGTGATCCTGTTGCCTCCAGCCTCCGGCTGCTGGGGTTACAGGTTGCATCTGGTTTCAAAGGGGTCTTGGTTAAGATCCTTTCTGCTCCTATGACCAAATGCCTAACCCAAACTGGATGAAGATAGACAGAGAATTGCAGGCTCCCGTAGCCAAACAGCCCTGGCGGAGACGCGTTTGGTGGCTGGCTGTCCCTTGACCCTGTTCTCGAGCAGCTTTCCCGCCGCAGTCCTGAGATGAGGCCCGAACTCCTGGAGCTGTCTGTGTCATGTCGTGAAGAGCAGGAAAAGGCCAGTTTTGCTTTTCTGATCATCAATTGAAACGGTGTCCTTGTAACAAGTGCCACACGTCCTCCCTCTGCTTTCCTTCAGTTGAAGGTTGACTTGATCTCATGCAAACTACACAACTGAGGAACTTGGGCTGCTCCGTAGTAGTAAGAAGGACACACACACCCTGGGAAAGCAACCGAGAAACTGTCCAAGACGCAAACACATGTGCGTGGCCTCCTCTCTAGGTCCTGCAGGGTGGAGGATGCCTCCGCCGCAGGTGGGCCCCATGTGAGTGTAACCGGAGGAACTGGCCTTTGTTTCTTAGGTTCAGGCCCACTGTCCCAGGAAAGAACAAAAGAAGAGTCCTTCTACACCTCACGTTGCCTTCCTCCCTGGCTCCAGCACACACCAGGCAAGTATAGGCTCTTGCTTTGGTTTTTGTTTTTGTTTATGGTTTGGTTCATTGATTTATTTTTTTGCGTATCTTTTTACTGAGACAGGGTCTCACTGTGTAGGCTGACCTCAAACTTCTGGTGATCCTCCTCCCTCAGCCTCCAAAGTGCTGGGATTCCAGGGGTACGCCTTCATGCCTATTTTAGGCTGTTGCTGTTAAGGGAGGATTTCGATGTGCATCCCAAGGTGGGCCTGTGTTGGTGACCTGGAAGCCTTACTGTAGGACACTGGAGTTTGTGGGCAGGCGGTGCCAGGCACAAATTACTCCCCAGAATCCCTTTTCCCCCCAGCTCGCACTGGCAGCATGGGAGGGCGGCACTGGAAGCCTGGTTTGGTTTGAGATGTGTGTGCTGCAGTTTGGGGCTCTTGGTTAGATTTAAGCTCTTGAGAGAAGTTTCTCTGAGGCCTTAGGAGCGATGCTGGCATACGTTCACCAGGCTCTTAGGAGTGAGGGAAGACTCACAGAAGGCGCACTGAGGTCGTCAGGGACCGAGCTGGGTTCTGGCCAGACCCTCTCTCGCAGAGAGTATGGGAGGAGATGGCAGTACACGTGGTAGCGGAGCCTAAGCACAGCATGGGCCGTCTGTCCAGGGGTGGCCAGGGGCAGCTGTCTACCGGCTTCCGCTGGTTTCTGCCCGGTGATAACACGTTTGGATTTCAGGATTCAGGCTTTTTGAAGAAGCCTGAATGTGTTACTGCTATGTAAACCTCTTGGGTTTTTTTGTTTTGTTTTGTTTTGTTTGCGTTACTGGGGATTGAACTCAGGACCCTGCGCTTGCCAGGCAAGTGCTTATTCTACTGAGCTATCTCCCCGGCCTGATCTCTTATTTTGTAAGGGTTGATAGCTGTATGCAGGATCATTTTGGAGCCTCTGATTAACCGAATAATTGTGGGTTCCTATCATAGGACTAATTCAAAAACATACTTCTTGTTCAAAATCAAATTTCATTACATTTTAAGGCTGGATGGGGTGGTGCATGCCTGTAATCCTGGTATTTGGGAGGCTGAGGCAGGGAGATTACCATGGATTTGAGGCCAGCCTAGGTTACACAGTGTATCCAAGGTCAACCTACGCTACATAGTGAGACCTTGTCTCAAAAATAAATTGTGTTAAAATACATACAATAGGCCAGGTGTGCTGGTGCGTGCCTGTAATCTCAGCTCTTAGGAGGCTGAGGCAGGAGGATTGCTGCAAATTTGAAGCCAGCGTGGGCTACAAAGTGAGTTCTAGTCTAGCCTGAAGTGCACAATGAAAACCCCATCTCAAAAAGACAAAAAAATTATATTATACACACTGTACCCTCAGAACCATTTCAAATGCACAGTTCGGCAGTGTCAAGTATATTATAATGTTGTGCAACAAATCTTCAAACTCTTTTCATGTTGAAAAACTAAAACTCTATGTCCACGATAATAAATACCGATCTCCCCTCTTCCCAGCCCCTAAAAACCCTCTTCACCTCAGTCTCTATGTATTTGAGTTATTTATTTATTTAATTAATTTATTTATTTTTAGCCAGTGATCGAACTTGGGATCTTATGCTTGCCAGGCGGGCACTTATGTCACTGAGCTACATCCCTGGCTCGGTATTTGACTTTGTTGCTGGCTTTTTCCACTTGGCATCCTGTCTGTCCTTAAAGCTCATCCATGTTGAAGCACATGAGAAAATTTTTTTTAATACTGACTAATATTCTATTATAGTAATAGACTTTTTTTTTTTTTAAATTTTTTTTTTATTTTTATTTATTTGAGAGAGAGAGAGAGAGAGAGAGAGAGAGAGAGAGAGAGAGTGTGGTGTGTGTGTGTGTGTGGCCAGCTCAGTCCACCAGGGGGCGGGGCTGGCTGGCATGTGGTGCTGGGGGATTGAACCGCGGTCCCTGATGCCTTGCCAAGCTTGTTCTAAGTAGGTGCTTTAGACCACTGAGCCATCTCACCAGCCCCCTATAGTAATAGACTTTTGCTTTGTTTTTTTTAGAATCCATTGTCTGTTGGTGGATGCTTAGGTTGCTTCCAACTTTCAACTGGATAATGCTAGCTGTGAACATGGGTGTAACACATTGTATTTCTTCTTTCTGTCTTTGATCCTCCTGAGCCGGGGTCTCACTGTGTTGCCCGGACTGGCCTTGAACTCCTGGGCTCACGAGGTCCTCTTTGCCTCAGCCTTCCAAAGAGCTGGGACTGCAGCTGCACCACTGTGCCTGGTTAAAATCCTATCTCCTACAAATATCTCCTGCCATGAACTTTTGCTCTCTGATCTCCCCAAGTGAATTACAAACTTTCTTAGATTAGGGATTATAAATTAATGTATTTGAAAGAGAGGTTTAATATCAAATTTTAAACACAAGCTAGTAATTCTAATCTCTTTTGCAGAATCACTCTTAGGTAGATACCACCCTCCCCACCCCAGGAGGTGGGGGATGCACACAGTGACCTTGTTTAAAAAAAAAATCGTCGTGGAAAGGCAAGAGAGAAGAGGAAGTTCACAGAGCAGTAGCCTGATGCGTGGGGCCTCGGCCTGGCATCGGGCTCAGCGCAGTGCA